ACTGTAGGGTCTATTCAAATTGCTCACAGCTGAAGAAACTAGTTCATGTACATTTTTCACATATTTATCAGTCAAACTGTAAACCTGAAGGTACCAAAGCCCTCAACAGTAGCTGTGCACCACTGCTGTTGTATCTCCCTGGTTTCCTGTTAGCAAAAAATCATAATTTAGTGATTGTCGCTCCTGGTGCAAACCAAGGTGTTTGGTCCTTTTAGAATCATTCAGAAAAAATATTTTATTGCAGGGATGTTCCTACATTGTATCAGCAGTATTTGGGAGGGAAAATTGTCAAATTGTGTTCCCCTGTTGATGAACATGCCCCCCCCACATAGCCACCTGACTTTCCATCCAGTGACAACAAGGGACTGTTTTCTGTACCCCCATTCCTTAGAGCCTGTACACTCAATAAAGACACAAATGCTGTTTAAAATTAATAATGCTATGCCTGCATGTTTTATTTCTTTTTTATTTTGCCCTTCTTGTCTTTCATCTTCTTCTTGGAGGGCTGCTGGGCACTGGCCTTCCTGTAGAGGTACAGCCCAATGAGCCCGAACAGTGTGGGCACCAGCGCCAGGGACAGCAGGGGCAGCACATCGTTCACCAGCTTCTGATAGGGCGTCTGCCTGGCCAGAGACACCACCTCCACGTCGAACTGCAGGGCCGCATCACCTGGGCACAGGGCAGTGTGGGTTAGCAGGCGTCACCGTTAGCCTCACTCAGAGCACTGCTGTCAGACGATAGGCACCAGGCTCAGGTGGCAGCTGAGCAAGTTCACAGGCATGCACAAGCACACACTCAGGAACAAGGGCACTTGCTTTGATCACTGAAGCAACTTTTCACTGACCCCGTTTCAAAGCATTGCTGACGGTCCAGAAGCTGGAAAGGAAATGTTGGTGTAGGACACAGACTGTCTGGTGAACACTGGCAAACTCTGGCAGACATGCAAAGCAAACAGCAAACCGACTGGCAGGGGTGGCACGCAGCCTCAATGCCTCACTGATTACGGAATGGGACTCACGGACTGGCGGGTGTGCCAGAGGCTGTGACCCCATACCCCAGGTAGAGGTCAGTACAGCTGGGTCTGCCCCCCCCCAAACCCCATCAGGCAGCCCCCCTCTCTGCTTGACAGCGGCCTTACCTGGGATGGTGGGAGGGAAGCCACGTTTTCCGTAGGCCAGATGAGCCGGAATAACAGCTTTGAGCTTCTGTCTGGAAGGGCAAACACACACTGAGCCCTGCGAGAAAACCTCTGAAGGCACTTTCAACACTACACTGAAATCAACAACATAGCTTTTTGACAAGCAGACCCTTGGTGCACTTACAATCATCAGACAATTAAGAATTTCTGATTATACCCGACTCTTTCCAGAGACCACAAGAGTCCTTCTCCTCGACCTAACTCATTAATACACAAATGTGCTGGAAACTTTCCTATGCAAATCCGCTACTTGGGTGGAGTATTTTGGGCAACACTGCAATCATTTCACCGACTAATCAGTGAGACACTGATGGTTTTAGGAGGAGACAAAGCAAACTCCAAAGGTCCACAGACACTCACCCAGCGCAGACTCCCAGCAGGCTCTGCTCCAGACCTGCATGAGGAAGACCAATCAGAAAAGCAGTTAATGGGGGAGGAGGGGGGCGCATTTCTTACAGCACTTCTTAAACAAAACACTGGAATCCCTTAGCAGCTGTGCTTGAAAGAGGAGCTTTGAGTATTGATGCTCCAGTATAGGGCATCCCAATCTATTCCAGTGCAGGATTTGTGCACAACCTGTTCTAATTCACTCAAAGACGCAATTCTAGCTTCATGTGCTAGTTGCACCAAACACATGAACTGGAATATAATGGAAAGACCTGCATCTGACTGCCTGTGCTATGGGTGGCCAAAGACAGGAGTTATAGCCATTCAACTGTGATAAGTGGACAGCATGGTGGTTAGCACTGAAGCCCTGGGTTCAATTCTGGACCTGGGATGCTTTGTGCATGGAGTTTGCATTTGTGTGGGTTTCCTCCCTCAGTCCAGAGCCATGCTGGTAGGTTAACTGGCTTCTGGGAAAATTGGCCCTGGTCTGCGAGAGTGTGCATGAGTCTTGTGATCGACTGGTACTCTGTGCTAGCAGTGTGCTGGGAGAGACTCTGGCTCTCCCATGACCCTGAACTGGATAAAGTGGTTAGGAAATGGATGAATGGGTGGACTAAAGAAAGCGGTTACCTGGGAACTGAAGTCTAACATGTCACAGAGATGTCACCCAGGTGGGGAATGGTATAGCTGAGGTCATGTGGGATTGCCAGTAACGTGCGTGCCCTTTTCTGACCTGTATTAGCTCATCACTAGCAGCCCATGGCTACTTTCCCTAAGTCTGAAACGAGGAACCACCCGCGGACAGCCATGTCTAGAGAGAGGCTGCGGGTTCTGTCCATCCTGAAGGAGATCAGATCTGCCCTGGATTAGTGCGATTCGACTGCATCCAGGATGGCCAGGAAGAAGGCTGCATGATGTGGCTCGGGCGGGGGGCCCCACGATCAGCGAACTCTGGTTTACACGGCTGGCGGAGCTGGTGTGGCCCATGTAATGGTATATGCTGAACGCAGCAGTTCATTTTTACCGGTGCCTACGATCAAGGGCTCCGAACCTATCGGACCTGCGATTCTGACCATTCGCTCGCTCACCTGGAATGACGGTCTTCTTTCCCAGCTCCACCACCAGCGGCTCCCGGGACAGAGAGCTGTCAAACAACTTGCCGTCCATCAGTCTCCCCTGGGCGTCCCGACGGCAGCGAGAGGCACAGAGAAGAGCAGAGAGCGCAGGGTCATACGGACGGGTACCGTGCCCCCTCCCCCTGCGCCAGTCTTGCCCGCCCGGCCCGCAGCTGGCTCGTGCATCGGGACCGATCTCGTCTGTACCCGCACCAGCTCGGAATTCCGGCGGCTACATGTTATTCCAGAGGTATTTCCCCACCAGGTACACCGCTCTGCCAAACCACTGGGGAACGGGGTTGTTCCTTAGGTGTGACCCATCCTCTCTGGAGGGGTAATTGGAGTCGCCCCACACATGGTTCAATCCCCTAGGACTGTAAATTAGTAGCAAACCAGGCCTTGCTGCGAAGCAATGTCACAGGAGACAGCTGGTGGGCGCACCGCTGAAAGCAATATCAGACCTGGCTAATGTGTCACTTCAAACAGCCACCTAGGAGCTACCCCAGTGATTTGTGTTTAGAGAACAACATCAACAGAGTGATTCGGTCAGCCAGCAGCTCCTGACACAAGCACCTGTGGACAGGTAGCACGGCCTGCTGCAGTCATCGTCACTGGCCCCTTCACTATTCTATCAGGGGGTTAGAGACCGTACAGAGCAAGAGTGCAACAGCCTTAAATTGTTACAGTTACCACTGTGCCAAGACAGCACTAATCCCCCAGGCATCTCTGGACTCTGGGATAATCAGGGAATTTGGATTGGACTTGTTTTCGGCCATTTAAGCTCTTCCAGAACACCAGCTTCCACCTTGAGTTCCCAACACCTTTTGCTGAGAAACCAGGGTGCTAGCCGGGAGCTGTGGATCGTTATACTGCCGGGAGAAACCATGTTAAATTCACTCTACTGACATTAGCCTAATTGTTCGCATAGAACTACATGTTATTTTTGGAAAGCTCCAGTGCCTGGGGTTTAATGCGGCCGCGGTGGTCTAACGTGCGAGGCTGGGCGAGTGAGAGCCCCCCGGACAGATCCAGATTTGCCCCTGGTCCTCCGTGGCGGGGTGGGGGGGGACAGTCTGGGGCCGTCCGTGCGTGGCGCCGTGTCCGCGCGGGCAGGGCGGCCGGCGTGGGCCGAGAGTGCTGACGTGTTGCTCCACCTCTGCACCCGGCAGCCTGCCTGCGCGAGCCCAACAGCGCCGGAGCGCCGGGGATTCTCCACGCCGCACGGCTCCGGCTCCCCCCACCCGCCCGAGTCAGAAACGTTCACACACGACCCGGCTGCGAACTTCCAGGGCGCAGCTGGCCGGCGGTCCCTGCGCGTCTGACAGGCGGGCGGGACGTGGACATGAACCGGCAGCTCAGACCGAAATCACAGGTCTTCCCGACGGCATGCCAGCGAGACTGCCGCTGCCGCTCGCTCTTACGGTGTAGTGGATGTGCAGGGTATCCCCCATCCCGGCCACCTCCGTGCACTCTTCGGGTCTCGCCTTGGGGGAGGAGAGACAACAAACACGCGTTAGAAAGGAGCCCCAGTACAGCTCGTGAGCAGACAGAACACAGACCACTCATGTGCAAAGCTGAGGGCACGTTCAGCTCGCCATCAGCAGGAACTGCCGTCGCTTCCTCTTCTGCGAGAGCAGAAGAGCTGCCCGGCTCGCTGGCGCCCCTCGCCCCCGCTCGCAGCCCCGACACGCGTCTCACCAGCGTCTCCACCAGGAGCTCGTCCACAGCCGGCTGCTCGTCGCGCTGCTCCCCCGAGGCTGCCGTGCAGACAGCGGCGAGCCAGACCAGGACGGTCCCAGCCTCGACTCTCATTCTCCGAGATCAGGCAGTCGGGCTGACAATAAGTTATATATAAATAAAAAAGTTTTTTTTAAAAAAAAAATCAGCCAGAGACGGGCAAACCCGGACTCCTGTCGCCGAAGTTAAAGATGATGTGTTACTCCCCTAATGCGCTGATAAGACCGGGGAGCTGGTAATTGGGATCCAGAGAGAAAAAAACGCCCCGAACACCTGGATGTCTCCAGAGTCCCCGCCTCGACGTTCCGCCAACATCCCAGAAGCCCCTCCCGATTCGGCCACGCTGGGAGCCGGGCTGCACGTCGCGCTCGGTCCGCCAGAGGGCGCGGCCCCGCACCACGTGGCTCCGGCAGGCAGGTCTGAGCGTTGTACATCAGTAGAAACCGCAGGTACTTTTTTCAACTATCGCAATTAGAAGTACCGGCAGACTTGAAGTAAAATCCGTACTTTATAAACTGGAATACGTTATAAGTAATTTAGGTTTTTTTTTATAGAGGACCTTTTATACTTCATTGCTACTAGTTAACTTTGGGATTCATTTAAAATTGTTTGATTTAACGTTAGTACATATTTGTATATGTTAAATATAATCAAAACACCACACTTTATTTTTGAAATATTAAACCCAATTAGAATTAAGACCAAGCACAGCCTTCTCATTCATCTCTGTGAGAGCGAGGCTCAGACGGGTTTATTGTGCGGAATGAGACGCGCAGACCTCCCGCATGACAACCGGCAATTTCTGTGGGGACGACCAGTCACTTTGGGATACTCCGCACTTGAATTTACTAAAAGGTGTACTGGCAAAGTAGTCAACGTCTTGTCTATCGCAAATCTGATTCTTTCAAGTTAAGTCTTCAGATCTGCTGTCGCCGTCCTGGCTGGGCGGACCCGAACCCGTCCAGCACCCCCCTTTACGTG